CAGGGACCAGAGCTTTGGCTCCCGGGGCCTCCGAGTGAACCACTCCTCCCGGCGGGCAGCCGCCACCAGTCAGCTTCTGCACCTGGCCCCGGCCCACCTCACAGTGAGGGTCTCCGCGCATCCAGATCCACCCGCCACGAGGGACAGGGCCACGCGGGGTGACAGCAAGGAGGTAAAACCCAGGAAAACCCAGGAAAAGCCAAGGTCGCCTGCCCTTCAGGGAACCTTGGTGACCGTGGGCTGTCACTCAGCCGCGCTGGGCCTCAGTTTTCTCATCTGTAAAATGGGAGGTACTACTAGCACCCTGGGTTACTGTGAGAAGACAGTGAGCCTTGGCACCTGGCACTAAATGATAATAATAATAATAATAATAATAAACCACGAGCGACATCTGGGACTGAGACGCTATCACACCATCTGGACAAGACGGCACACAAAGGCCTGGCATACAGCAGGCACTCCGTAAGGATGGAAAGGGGTAGAGCACCCTCCCTCCCTCCCCCCCATCAACAGGCCGGTCAGCGAGGGGCGTCCCCATCCTAGGAGGCTGTGCATGCAGGCCTGGGGCTTGCCTCCACCCCTTCCCCCATCCATCAGGGCTACCCCAGTCCCCTCAGCCCCCCAGCCCTCCAGCCCTCGCCAGGCAGCCGGGATCCTGCATGTGCACAGCGGATTGGTCTTCCCCATCTTCCCCGGGCTGAGTCCCGCCTCCCAGAGCCAGGACACACGCAGGCACACGGGCGCTGGCCAGGGGGGATGGGCCCCAACAGCTGGAAACATCTGGTTTGAATTGTCGCTTGGAAGCACCCGCCAGGCAGCCAAGGAATTTGGGAGCTAATTTTAGGCTAAAAGACCAGAGAGCTCAGCAGGGCTGAGGCTGGCTCCCCAACCCACAGAGGCGAGGCTGCGAGGCTCGGGGGAACACGGAGGCCTCCATGGTGCCCCTCGGATGGTCCATGTCGGCCCCGTAGCCAGGGGCTGTCCCTCCCAGGATGAGCGCTGACTGGGCACCTGCAGTGTGCCAGCCACGTCCCTGCTCACTTCAGCCCCCCACAGCCCCGGGAGGAGCAAGGGTGCGTCACCCCATTTCACAGGTGTGGAAGCTGAGGCTCCCAGAGCTCAGAGCCCTGCACCTAGTCAGGGGGTGGGGATATGACCCAGGTCTGCCGGACTCCTAGCCTTAGACGCGAGGTTCTCTTGCTCTCCGCCCCTGGCACTTGTCCCACAGCCCTGCCTCTGCCCTCACACCCTTGCAAAGTGTCCCTAGCACATGCGTTCATTCAGCAAATGTTTCCCGAACCCCTACTGTGTGTGCCAGGCCCTGTTCAGGGACAAGGAAAGAGTGACGTGGGGGACAGAGGCCCCTAACCTTGCATAGCAAAAATCAATATGCCACCGACATCACTCCAGGCAGCCATCGGTGCCTCAGAGGGAAAAGGGGGCCTGTTGTCAAGGACAACTGGGGCCGGGCTGCAGGGAGGGCCTCTCTGAGGAGGTGACATTGCAACTGTGACCTAAAGGACGAGAAGATGCCAGCCATGCAGACGTCTGCGAGGAGAGTACCAGGCAGAGGGAACAGCACGTGCAAAGGTCCTGGGGCAGGAGCATGTGAAGAAGGAAGAGCGCGAGTGAGAGGCGACAGGCGCTCTCCTTCACACATCCAGCTGACAGATCTGTCAAGAGGTGAGATGGGGGTCTGAGCAGGGCAGGAGCTGGGGTTCAGAGGCTTTGGCTGGTGGGATTAGGGGACCCCACTGTCTTACGTATTTATTTGCTGGGGGGCTGCGGAAAACTCCGAGGGGAATTCCTTGAAGCCTGTTCTCAGTGCCTGGGACATTCTTCTCTCTATGTCCTTCCTCCCGAGTGAACAAGTCTGCATCCTTCCAGTCTCAGACGTCCTCCTGACACCTCCTCACCCCACCTCCAAGGTCAGGCCACACTGCGCGCCCTCAGAGCCCCCCGCCCCTCCCCTCTGGACTCTGGGCCCTGCCACAATCTGGGTGATCATTCGATTCATCTCCCTCTCCCTTTAGACCCAGGAGCCCCAAAGGGCATCGCCAGTTCTGTACGGCTCCCCTGGCATCCCAGGACCCAGCACAGGGCCTGGCACAGAACGGACGCATCATAACCATCAAGTTATGGGGCTTGGCGGGGTGCCAGTGAAGGGCGGGATCTGGAGGATGAGTTTGGGGAACCTCTGCCCAGATCACCCCAGGGCTGGCAGCCCGAGCTCATAGACAAAGGGACCTGGAGTAAACTTAGCATGTCACCCCCCTCCCCACTTCCTGTCTACCCGCCTTCCTTCCCTGTCACCGGAGCTGAAGTCAGCAGTCTAGTTTCTCAGCAGTGTGTCCTGATGGAGTAAGAGGTCCAGCTTTCTGAACCTCAGTTTCCCCTGCAGTAAAATGGGGGTAATTATTGTGTCCACATCGTAGAGTTGTTGTGAGGCCTAAAGAAGCTCATACAAACTGTTTGGCCTGGGGCCGGGCCTGCAGTCACTGCCCAGTAAATGCCAGCTCCTTGTCCCCAGCCTCCTCTCTTTGTCTGTGTCCTGCTCCTGCTCCTGCTCCTTGCAAGAAGGTGGGTCTGGGTCCAACTTTGTCACCCTTCCGAGAACCAGCGTCTTCCCTCAGCAGCCAGGAGCAGCAAAGGGTGACTGATGGGGACTTCCAGGCGCCAGGGCTGGTCAGCAGGGGTGAGAGTTTGGGACATGGGATTCCCCTAGAACCCCGCTTGCTCTGGACGGTGTGACATAGTGGTAAGGACATGGCTTTCTTTAAACAACAAAAAACAACAGCTATGGGCTTTCTGATTCAGGCCTGGGTTCCAATCCCAGAGCTTCATGCATGAGCTGGGGCAGGCGAGTTCTTCTCTCTGAGCCTCAGTTTTCTCGTCTGTAAAATGGGGAGGGAGCTAGTTCCTCCTTCCCAGGCTGTTGAAGGGACCCCAGGAGATGTTGCAGATGTGCGTGCTCGGGCTGTCTCTGCTGAATGGATTGATCGGGCAATTGGGGCGCTGATGTCCAAGGACAGTGGGAGGCCCGGGCAGGAGGAAGGGCACATGGTATGCAGGAGCCGGCCTGCGTCTGAGAGCCAATTGTCAAATTTTCAGAATCTTGCGAGCCAGTTGTTTCATAAGTTAAACTATGTTACATTACAAACCAAGGTCCTCCGTACTCAAAACTCACCAATTTCTAATTATTTTACTACATTCTCCTATTATTTATGCTCTTGAGATGACTTACATGTATTGTATCACCTATTACCGTGGTCGGCAAACTGCGGCTCGCGAGCCACGTGCGGCTCTTTGGCCCCTTGAGTGTGGCTCTTCCTAAGCCTTAGGAGTACCCTAATTAAGTTAATAACAATGTACCTACCTATATAGTTTAAGTTTAAAAAATTTGGCTCTCCAAAGAAATTTCAATCGTTGTACTGTTGATATTTGGCTCTGTTGACTAATGAGTTTGCCGACCACTGACCTATTAGATGAGTGGCTAGTGGCTCAAAATCCGCCATGGAAGTATTTACACCAAGGAGGTTGGCAGGCACCACAAATCATGGCTTGGGTACCACTCCCCCCAAGGCGCCAGTTGCTAAACATTGACCAGCCGCCCTTCATCCTCAAACACTGGACAGAAGGAAGCTCCGGGCTGCCCATGGCTCTGAGAGCTGGTACCGGGCGCCCCCTGGTGGCTGCTTCAAGCACCCATCATTTCTGACTTCAATCCTGCACGTTGGAGAAACACACAGAAAACCAGGCACTCCAGGACCCCAGGGAGAAAGGGAGACCTGCTCCCTGCCCCGAAAGACGAGGTAACAGGACCCTGAGAGAACTTCTCAGGTGTCCCCCAAGTCTTTTAGCCTCTGGATCCCCAACCCCATATGGGGAGCCTCCCAGCTGATGTTTCTGATCACTCCCTAAGGGAAAGTGAGTGACATGTGGCTCCTAACGCATCAGCCCTTTCTCTCCAGGGCTGGCTGCCCCGGACCACAGTGGACACCCCTCTTCCACCAAAAAGCACCTCCCTCTGTATGAGACTCGTCCTGGAGGTTCAGGGCAGGGGCTGGTGTTCCTCCACGTCTCACCGACTCTGATGCCTCCCCTATTCCCCCCTGCCTTGCCCCAGCCCTGCCTCTTCCTCCCAACCCCTCCCGCCTGAGCTGCAGCCAGTACCTCAGACCCAAGCCTCTCTGTGCAGGTTACATCCTGGAGGGGAGGGGTCCTTCGCTTCCAGAGAGGCCCCTGGAGGTATTTTTCTAGAAGAGAAAACGCCTCCCTGAGATGAATTGCATTTTTCCTCTAGAAGGTAGAGCAGTGTGGGCTTGAAGCAGCAGGTCCTGCTCACTCCCTGTAGGAAAATGACTGAAAGGCATCGGGAGGCGGAAGATCGAGTCGGAAGCCACGGAAGGTGGGCCTGGCCACGGAAGGTGGGCCCCTCGCTTCACCTCGGGAGGCCTCAGCTTTCTGATCTAAGCTCAGGTTAAGGAGGGTTTTGAGAGTGGTAATGCGTGCAGGTGCACGCGGTCAGGTGCCAAGTAAATTGGGCAGCCACGCCTCCTGATTTGTTGGGGCTGCAGTTTCCCACCACAGGGGAACTCGGGGCTAAAATCAGGCAAGTCTAGCCCCAACGGGCTTGGCTCAGGGGATAGAGCGTCGGCCTGCAGACCAAAGGGACCCAAGCTCAATTCCGGTCAAGGTCACGTTCATTTCCGGTCGAGAGCACGTACCTTGGTTGCAGGCTCCTCCCCTGCCCGGGCCCTGGTCCGGGCTCATGCAGGAGGCAACCAACCCATGTGTGTTTCTCTCACATCGATGTTTCTGTATTTCCCTCTCTCTTCTACTATCCCTAAAAATCAATGGAGCCTCAGGTAAGGATTCGCCAACAAAATAAAAATAAAAAGTGAAAAAATCAGGCAAGTTTCAGGCAGACTGGGCCCTCTGGTCACCCAATGCTGAGATCAGGGGTCAGCAAATGCACAGAGCCCAATCCAGCCTGCTGCTTGTTTATAAATAAAGTTTTATTAGAACCCAGCCAACCCCATTTATTCACAACATAGTATCAATCATTGCCCTGCATTGGCAGTATGATAAGAGAGTTGAGAAGTTGCAACAGGGACCCTGCTGCCCGCAAAACCTAAAATATTTCCTGCCTGGCCCTTTAAGAAAAAGTCCGCTGGCCCTGAACTTTTAAATGACAGCTAGTCGGTACTCCTGGGAGCTGGACAAAAGCCATGAAGTCTGCGGGAGGAGTGGGTGGGTCCTGGGTGTTAGTGGGAATCTGGCCCCATGTTGGACGGAGAGGACACAGTGGGGTCCTGGGGAGGCTGGCATTGATGCATAGACTTGTCTGAGATTTGGGGGGGAGGCCCAATTCTGTAGGTCAGAACTGGGTCAAAGGGGGATTTGAATAAAGAGGTCCCTTCCCTTACCCCCAAACGGCCTGAAACCTTCCCCAGCTGCTCAGGAATATACCAAGATGCCCTCCCCACCACCCCACCCCACCCCACCCCCACTCCCTGTGCCCAAGACACAACACTGTTAACCCAACAGCCTGTGCATGGGGTTTCCTGAGGGGGATGGACTGGGGGGGAAGGACCGACCCCTGACCTGAAGGAGGCCACCCCACCCCACCCCCACTCCCTGTGCCCAAGACACAACACTGTTAACCCAACAGCCTGTGCATGGGGTTTCCTGAGGGGGATGGACTGGGGGGGAAGGACCGACCCCTGACCTGAAGGAGGCACCTTGATGTCTCGAAGCATTCAGCCAGCTCCAGACCCAGTGGGTGCCGCTGGCAGGGGGAGGAAACAGACTTCTGCATGTCGGGCCCTGGGCATGGCACTGGACTATGCTGGAAGCTTCTGCCCAGTAACAGCGCAGGGCAGAGTCCCAGCCTCCTCTCTCTGAGCCCCCAGAGAATTCACATACACCGCACCGGTGATCCTGCATCATCGCTGCTCACCGAAGCAGGCGGGCAGCTGCTTTGTAAGGTCCAGAGGCCTGGAGAGGTCCCAGCTGGGTCCCCAGAGCCCAGCTGCTGGCGTTTGAACCCGTTTCTTAGCAAGTCCAAAAAGTGACAATGCATCCATGAGGCTCATGGATTAATGTGTACCCCCCTCAGCTTCTGCACCTCCTAACCTGCCTTCTTCAATCAAAAGTCACTTCCTGGCCTGGGGTGGGGGGCAGGGAGGCAGGCTGGAGGGGGCCAATAGGGGGGAAAAGGGGGACATATGTAATACTTTCAACAATAAAGAACTATTTTTTAAAAAATAGTGGAAACTCAGAAAGAAAGAAAAAAAAAAGACCTCACCCTGGGCTCCCCAGAGGGGTAGCTGAGAACACTCCAGCTGCCCCCAGCGGGGTACGGCAGAGTGGTCTCAGGAACCCCACGCTCCTCAGGACCCACCCCCCCAAATGCATGATGATTGGCAACCAGAAGACAAGAGCAGTGGGTGAGGGCAGGGGACCTGAGTCTCCCCAGGGCTCGTGGGAATGAGACTACAGCGGCCAGGAGGAAGGAGAGTCCTGCGCCCTCGGTCCTGTTGGAGTGGCCAGGGTCCTGCCCTAGAGATCCCTCCCCCAGGGGCTCGGAGGAAGCCCAGACAGGTGGCCCAGGGCCCAAGCCCTGGGTGGTGGCCGCGGAGGAAGCAGCCAGGAGCCAGGGTCCTGCTCAGGGGCGCGGGCAGGGGCGCTAAGGGAGAAAGCTGTGCAGGGTGAGGTCGTCCCCATTGTGGTCCTCCCCAGGCCCTTCCAGTAGGCCCGGGCCCTTGGCGGTGGGCAGGCTCCCGTTGGGGGTGGCGGCGGGCGCCTCCCCGCCCTCGGGCAGCAGGGAGGAGATGCAGACCATCTCGGTGGGCGAGTAGCTGCGCACGTGGTACATGTGGTTCCTGCGGGAGAGGCGGACGGCCAGCACCACGGTGCACACCAGGAAGGTGGTGGCCACCAGCGCCAGGATGAGGATGGCCAGCAGGCAGTGCTTCACGGGCATGTAATCCGGGCCCTTCGTGAGGCTGGGGGACGCGGAGCTCGGCGGCGAGAGGCCCTGGCTGCTCTTCCCCTGTTTGATGAAGGCGTCCGATGAATTGCTGGCGGCCACGGTGGTGCCCTCGTGAGGATCAGACAGCACAAGAAAGGCCGTGGAGAGACCCCTTGTGGACAGCGCCTTCATGGTGGCTGGCTCCTTGGACAGGGTCTCTGTGGTAGTGGGCTCCGTGGGAGGGGCCGCTGTGGTAGCCGGCTCTGTGGACAGGGCCTCCGTGGCTGCAGGTTGCGTGGTCAGTGGCTCTGTGGTCAGGGCCTCTGTGGCTGCAGGTTGCGTGGTCGGTGGCTCTGTGGTCAGGGCCTCCGTGGCTGCAGGTTGCGTGGTCAGTGGCTCTGTGGTCAGAGCCTCCATGGCTGCAAGTTGCGTGGTCAGTGGCTCTGTGGACAGGGCCTCCATGGCTGCAGGTTGCGTGGTCAGTGGCTCTGTGGGCAGGGCCTCCGTGGTGGCCAGCTCTGTGGATGGAGCCCCCTCCGTGGATGGAGCCTCCGTGATGGGAGGGATTGTAGTGCCCAGGTCTGTGGTCAGAGGGCCCGGTGTGACAGGAACCCCCTGTGAGGTCAATTCCATGCTGAGCTTCCCAGGGGCTGCCCCTCTGGCATCCAGGCCACCAGAGTCCCCTGTGGTCACCTCCGGAGTGGCTGGCTCGGGGGAACCAGGCCCTGCAGACTCTCTCTGCCCCAACGTTCCCATCGCAGCCTGAAGCTCGGGGCTCAGGGTCACACCCGCTGTGATAGTTTCAAGCGTGTCTGGAGGGTCCGTGCCATTCGCCTCATCGTAGTCTTCCAGGTCATCCTCGTCTCCATCCGCCGGGATCTGCTGGAGGCTGGGGCCCAGGAGGACCAGCAGCAGGAGGAGTGGCAGCGGCATGACACCTGCAGGGACACACGGACAGAGGGACATCAGGACAGCTCCACCCCTGGGCCGCCGAGCCCCCCGGGCTGGGATGCTGGGCGGCCACAGCTGGGCGTGTGTCTGCTCTGGGGCAGACGCTTGGCTGCAGGCACCCGCCCGACCCAGCGCGTGCCTGGTGCACAGCGGGCCCTCCACCAACAGCAGCTTTTCCCACTGATCAACATGAACGGCCACTGGGTGCAGATAGAAAGCATCTGAGCTGCCGTGGCCCATACACCCGTGCGTTAGAGCGTCGTCCCCATACACCAAGGTTGTGGGTTTGATCCCCGTTCAGGGCACATACAAGCATCAGCCAGTGAATGCATAAGAAAGTGGAACAACAAGCCAATCTTCCTCTCCTCCTCCTCCTTCTCTCTAAAATCAATACAAATTTTAAAATAATTTATAGAAAATATGAACTATTAGAGCTTCTAGTTATATTGACTTTTATGTCCCCCCCTTCTTGCTCCCTATTTTTGTATACATTGGTAATATAACCTGAGTGGAGTCATTCCTGTATACAATTCATCCGTAGATGCATGCACTCATCCGCTGATGGGGGTGTCCAGGAGCAAGAGCCTGGAGACCCCAGGTTTGGACCCTGGAGGCCTCTTGGTGTCTGGTCCTGACCCCTCTGTTCCACTCTCCCCAGTCTTGGCTCCCTGCCCCCTCCCCGCTCCCCCTTCCCTCAGCTGCACAGTTTTTCTTTTTCTGTCTCAGGGTCTCAGCTCGGTCTGGCTCCCTCTGGCTATGTCCTTGCTCACACAAGGGGGACGACAGCACCTACCTCTAGGCTCTTGTGACATGAAACGAGGTGATGCAGAGCCCTTAGCACTCTGTTCCCAGCAAGCTCCGGCAAAGGGGGCTACTTTGATCTTTCACAACCCTATCCCATAAGTCCTCCAGGGCCCAGAGCCTTTTCAGAATGGCCCTGCCCTTGGGGAGCTGGCAGTCATCATTGGCCTGTGGGTAGGGTCACTGTCCACTTCAGCCTCCGGTCTGGGAAGCCAGAAAGGGCAGCGCCTCTCCCTTCGGCCAGCTCCCTGGTCTCGCTTCTTGGCACTGTGAACACTCCTGCTTTCCCGTTCTTCCTCTCTCCTCACACTGCCCCTGGCACTGGCTGGTGGGTGTGCAATTCAAAATCATGCATTAGAAAACCCCGCGATGAGTGACAGCTGTGTTCTAGGCAGGATGCAGGTATTTCTGGGTCCTCGGACATAAGACCCTCCGCAATGGGCCACCCCTGCCTCAGCGCCGGGGGCAGAGTGAGCCTGCGTCATTTCCAGAACCTTCCCTTGCTCATCGCGTGATTTGGAGCAAAGAGCAGTGACTTGCTCACAGCCCCCTCAGCTTCCAGCCTTACTCTGACCTCCTTCCCCTGTTGGTGAGAATTATGTTGGTTTCTAAAATGCCAAGCTGATCAGATCGGAGAATAATTTCTTAAACCCAACTTTATGGTATTTGCATCAGACACCTCTGGCCCTCCCGATTATCCTCATTTCGCTGTGGAGGGATGAGGCTCAGAGAGGCGAAGCGATTTGCCCAAAGACACACAGCTGGCGAGAGGCAGAGATCAGAATTGAACCCAGCGAGGATTCAGGAAGGCTTTGAGGAGAGACCAAACCTAGCTGTGGGGGCAGAAGGAGCAGAGGCTTGGAGGAGAGCTTAGCTTGCTGTGTTTGTGGCTCAGGTTGGGGAACAAGTTCGGGGGGGCGGGGGCAGAGTAAGAATAAGAAGGACCTTAAAGGCCACATCACCTAGAAAGGCCGGCCCCATATGTACCGGGTGCCATGCAGGGCACAGGACTGGGAGCACAGACTATGGGGTCAGACAAAAAGATGTTTGAGCTGAAACCGGTTTGGCTCAGTGGATAGAGCATCGGCCTGCGGACTGAAAGGTCCCAGGTTAGATTCCGGTCAAGGGCATGTACCTGGGTTGTGGGCACATCCCCAGTGGGAGTGTGCAGGAGGCAGCTGATCGATGTTTCTCTCTCATCAATGTTTCTAACTCTCTATCTCTCTCCCTTCCTCTCTGTAAAAAATCAATAAAATATATTGGGGAAAAAAAAAGATGTTTGAGTCCTGGCTCTGGCTCTTACAAGCCGTATGACCTTGACACAGATCTTTGCCTTTCTGAACCTCGGTTTTCTCATCTGTAAAATGGGAATAACACACAGTACCTATCCCATAGGGCTGTTGAGAGAATGCAGTGAGATGATGGATTCAGAAGTTCCCACAGTACGTGCTTAATAAATGTGTCACACACACACACATGCACACCCACATACATGTTCTTTGCCTGCTAACCTGCCTTCTGCAGGCAGAGTTTCTTTGCACATGGGGGGTGGGGGGGTGCCTTCTTGGGGGAAGAGTATGTGGCCTAACCTTGGCCTCACTCCCCTGGGGCACAGGCACTTTGGAAGAAGCCCCAGCTCAGAGCCATATTTCATAATTATGAGAAGACTCAGCCCCGCCTCGGGCAGTTCTCAGTTCCTGGAAGGCTGAGCCCTCAGCCACTTCCTGCAGAGGGAGGGGCGAACACTCAAGGCCCAGCCCACCAGTTCCTGGGTGGGGAGAGGCCTCTTGGTGAGTCAGGGCCCCACGTTCTGAAGCCTGGGAGCTGGGAGGATGCCATGGAGGGGGCCGGGGCCTGTTCCCAAGGTGGGCCCTCACCCCGGTCCCCATCCCACAGTCCCGTGCTTGCAGAGGGGTGGGGTGGGGGCACGGGGGAGACCACTTAGCAGCTGTGTGACCCTGGGCAGGTCACTTCACCCTCTCTGAGCCTCAGTTTCCTCATCTGTAAGACAGGTCCTAGTGCTTCAAAGAATGGTGGCGAGCATGGAAAGAGATGCGGCCGGGAAGGCCCCAATGCTGGCATCCGCGGGGGGGGGAAGGGGGGGCGCTTTATGTGGGGGGCTCTCTTCAGGGCAGTGGACAGAGGAGCAGAGGAAAGGTGCACCCCAGGGAGGGTACAGAGATGGTAACCCCCCTGCCACCCCTGTGCCCAGTTAGGGAAGCCGCAGGGGCCTGTGAGAGCAGACCCCGCCCCTGTCTGTTGAGCCTCGGTTTTCTCATCTGTAAAATGGGAATAATACACAGTACCTATCCCATAGACAAGTGCACTGGGAAGACCACGTGACCCCGCCTGGGCCTACCTAGGGCCACCAGCTTGCCCTGAACGTCCCTGACGTTAGTGCTGAACGTCCCCGATCCCGTCTCCCTCAGTCCCAGGCACCAGCCTATTTAGTGGGAAGAACACGCGGCTCCCAGAGCTTCTGTGGCTCCTGGGGCCACTCGGGTCGCAAGGAGAGGAGCCGGGAGTGAGCACTGCCTGTGAGGGGCAGGACAATAACTGATCCTGGCTCAGATACACGTACTATAACCAAAGATGTCTCACAAAGCCCTCACTAGCCCTGGCCGGTTTGGCGCAGTGGATAGAGCATCGGCCTGCGGACTGAAGGGTCCCAGGTTCCATTCCAGTCAAGGGCACATGCCTGGGTTGCGGGCTCGATCCCCAGTGTGGGGCACGCAGGAGGCAGCCGATCAACGATTTCCTTCTCGTTATTGATGTTTCTATCGCTCTCTCCCTCTCCCTTCCTCTCTGAAATCAATACAAATATAAACAATAAAAAATAAAGCCCTCACTGTGGATGGATCATCCCATCATAGGAGGCACTTCCCTCATCTTCACTCCACACTGGCTGCGATGATGCCCATTATACAGATTAGGAAAACAAGCCTCAGAGCAGGGACTTCCTCCAGGCCTCACCTCATCTCTCCTCCAACGGCAGGAAAACAGCCGCTTACCACAGGAGGGGGGCTGGGCAGGGCTCTGAGAGAGGGACAGAGAGCTGTCACACCCTACTTGTCTGCTGCTCACCTAGCGGCGTAGGGCACTGCCCATTTCCTGTCTTCCAAGCTAAACCCAAGCTGCTTCTGCCGAGCCCCGCCTGGGCTTGGGGGGGCGGGGGGCAGGGGGGCACACACCCCAGCTCCAGAGACCACCCTGGGCCACTCGTGACCTCCCACTCAGAATATTGGACCCCAGGAGTCCCAACGTTCACGTTCCTGGAACCTTAGGATCCGGAAGACTGAGCATCTCAGGGTGTGGGCTGAGCAGCCGCAAGAGAAGGGACGGCTCCAAACCCACAAGTAGGTCAAACCGAGGCCCACGTGACCCCTCACCGCCCACCACCACCACCACCACCACCCCGCCCCCCGCCGCCGCCACACACACACACCCCCAATCCCAGTGTGGGTCTAAGTCCTGGCAGCCAGGACAGGGCCTGGCCCAATTTGGGATCAAATCCAGTATTAAAACCAGATCCAGCCCTAGCCGGTTTGGCTCAGTGGATAGAGCATCAGCCTATGGACTGAAGGGTCCCAGGTTCGATTCCAGTCAAGGGCGCATGCCCTGGTTACGGGCTTGATCCCTAGTAGGGGTCATGCAGGAGGCAGCTGATCAATGATTCTCTCTCATCATTGATGTTTCTATGTCTCTCTCTTTTCCTCTCCACCATCAATAAAAATATATTTTAAAAAAACAACAGATCCAAATCCAGCCCTATCATTTACAAGCTGTGTGACCTCAGGCAACGGAGCTCACCTCTCTGAGCCACAGATTCCTGGCTGGAACCCAGGGATAATAGTAGGACTTGCATGCACCGCTTGGGGCTGTGGGTTGAAGTGAGCAGTCCAGGTGGCGTGTTTAGCACCTAGGAAGTACTCAATAAAGGCCGCTGTTGGCATTGTTGTTCTCCATGTAGGGCCACATCCCTGAAAAGTCCCCAACCCGGGGCTGCTTTGACACACCTCTGACATTGTCAGTCAGAGAGGGCCAGGACAGGAAGCCCTGGAAACCTTCACAGCCAGCCCTGGGTGCCCTGGGCAGCCTGGCCTCGGTTAGGAAATCACACATGCCCAGTGCAGACAGTGCCAGGCACTGGTCTAAGAGCTTTACATGGACTATTCGCTCATTGGGC